AGGGTGCGTGTTCCGCTCGGGGCAGGACAGCTGCTGGGCACCCGTTGGAATGGGAAGGATGCCGAGAAAGCCATTTTGGGGAGGCATGCTGGCATCCCATCCAGGGGCACTCCTGGGGACACATGGGGGCTAACAGGTCACTAAAGAGAAGGGACACTGGTCCCTCCCTGGCCATGCACAGCCCTTCCAGTCTGCTTGACAGCGACGTGCGAGGACCGGACTGAACCTGGGGACGGAGCCGACACTGGGCCCCCCGCGTGCCTGGTGGAGGTTCTCGGAGATGTCCCTGTCACACTGCTGGCCTTGGGAGAGGCAGGGAGGGACACGACATGGGGCACTTGCTGCCCGTCACCCCCTTTCTCTACACTCAGGCCTGTTTCTTCCCGTAGCAGAAGGAAGAGGGACGAGATACCCACCCTCATCCCAGAAAGCATTTGAGAGCAGAAAAAAGCCACCCGCCACCTTAACGCCGGTGCTGGGGCAGGTTGTGAGTGAGGAACCGGAACGGTGACACCCGCGGTGACGGGAGCGTCCTCGGGAATCTGCCTTTATGGGTGTTTGCTTTCTAAATGTTTACCCGGCCCTTTTGTTTGACTGAGTGCCTGCGCAGAGAGGAGCAGACCAGAGATGGCTATCAGCGCTGTTGACTCTCCTGCGCCAACCCGGGCAGGGGTGGGACAGGGCTGTCCCCACCACGGGGAGCCCCGGCAGGGGCTGCCCCCCATGGCCTCCCACGAGTCCTGCCAGCACATGTCTAGGGAAGGGACACCCATAGGGGACATCATCAGGGTGTCACCCCCCAGCCATGGCCATGGCACCGACCACACACAGCCACATCCCACCAGGTGCTGCCCAGGTCACCCGAGGAGGGAGAGAGCCCCAGCGATGCCACGTCCCAGCCCCGCATCCCCATCCCACCAGACAGTGGTACCTAGAGAGCCCCTCGCTCACCGCTCAGCCGAAAGCAGAGAGAGACGACCTCCCTCCTAAGCCCAGTTAACCCAGTAAGAGCAGCTGCTGCCCCTCACCTCCCATTATATCCGACATGGCCCAGGTGGACCCGGGAGCTGCTCGGTTGCACCTGAGATGTTCAAGGGTCTCCGCCGCGCATGGCCCCAGCCCTGGAGATGGGACTGCCAGGGAGGGGACACGGGTGGATGGCAGGTCCACTCACATGGGGAGTGCAGGGGTACAGCTGCAGTGCCACCGAGCCTGCCCCCCCCAGCACACACAGGCAGCAGCGAGGGGGTTGGAAATCTGTATTGGGTACAGAGGGAGCGGAAAAGGCTCATCTGGGGCCAGAGAAGAACTCATCCCTTGCCCAGGGCCACACGGTGAGCTGAGGCCACTTCCATGGGTCCCCAAGTCCGGGAGTGTCCCCCCTCCACCCCAGGAGGGGATGTCTCCTCAGCCTAGTCCCACTCGCCATCGGGATGCCACCCCAAAGAGCCCATCTCGTTCCCTCCTCCCCTGACGCCCCCTCCCTCAGCTCGTGATGTCCTGGTTATCTTGTGGGGACTGAGGCCCCCAGCCTCGCACCAGCCCCCCCACATCAGCCCCACGCCCTTAGGGGACTGCTGTGTCACCCACAGCCCCTCCAAACCCCTTTCATGGGGGACCCTTTCCCAATCTCCCCCTCGCTTCCTCCTCTCCTCCCACTTCCCGCTCAGGTTTTTTGGCCGGAGGAGCAGAGGGCTGGAGTGGGG